TTATCTTAACACATATGTATAATAATTTGAAAAAATAATTTAATATTGGCGCACGTAGTAGTTACTCATACATGGTACAGAGTGCAAGTGAATTTGTTGTATCATATCTGTGTTGGGGTTAGTAGCGTTAATGTAAGTGTTTCAAAAGTATTATTTAAAAAATGTCTCAAGAAATTAAAAAAGGCAAAAAGAAGCAAATAAAGAAAGAGAAGACAAGTCAGAAGGAAGAAAAATCCGAAGAGAATGTAAAAGAGAACCTCAATGAAAATGTCAAAATGTATGTAAAATAAAAATATTAATGCTAACTGTCGATGCCATTTAATGCATTATTAATTTTTGTAAAATTAAATATTCGAATACTAGTTGAAATTTTATTTGTATCTTTTTAGAACTTCTAGCATGAATTGACATTATATTTTGACGTATAGGTTAGCTGTCTTATCAATTATCTGTGATGACATTTGTTACTTTTTACTTTGTATAATTTTTATTTTTTCTTCACATAAAGCATTTTATACGATTTAAGTTATACATAAAAGTATGATTAACACATAGTTTTTTACAAATACATTTTATCCATATAGTTATTATAATATAAATTATTGCCAAATTATGAATGAAATTTAACAGGTACATCATTTTACAGAAAATATGGTCCTTCAGTGAAATTTCCTTATCAAAGAGTATGGTCTCGTTGTTTCCTGATATTTGCAGTGTTATTCATTGTTTGGTATAATAGCAGACAGGGTAAAGAAGTTTACTTAGCAAAGCAAAAAGAAATTTTACTAAGTCGTACACAAAATGTTGAGTGCTCACATGATTATAAAGTTGAGACAAGCAAATATCCAGAATGTGTGCCAGAAAAATGTGGAAGGATAGTCTCAGATAAACTAGTTTCATCCACAGAAACTGATGTTTTATTGAAAATAGCAGTGAATGGTTTAAACTTAGGTGGTTCAGATGGAGGTGCTAGTATTTTGGATCTTCACTCTGGTGCATTGAGTAAAGGCCAAGGTTTTATAGACATCTACACATTGCCAGAAGCAAAGAAGATATTTAACAGTGCTGATTTTGCAATTTATAAGTACATAGATTTTTCATAAATATTTCAAAAGAATATACTGACTTCAATTTTATAATTGTACAATATTTACAGAGTAGTAAAAACTAAGATACAACATGCAGTAGCACACAATTTTGGAGTACCTTCTAATAAGATATATTTAACTAAACATACATTTTTTTCACGCATGACTAATATGTCTGCAAAAACAATACATGATGAATATTGGCATCCTCATGTCGACAAGGTGCATAAACTAATTGTAACTGAATAATCATTAATACTTCGACTCTGAATGTTAATCTTTGATACAGGAAACATATGAGTCATTTCACTATACAACTTTGCTTTATCTAAACGATTATGGAAGAGATTTTGAAGGAGGCAGATTTATATTCATCGACAAAGATAACGTTAATACAACGGTAGAACCACGCAAAGGTAAAAAATGACTATTAATGTGTATAACGAAAAAAGAAAAGAAGGAATTTTATATATAATTTGTAGGTAGAGTGTCTATGTTTACTTCGGGTAGTGAAAATTTACACGCAGTTGAAAAAATACAATCCGGAACTCGTTATGCGTTGACTATATCTTTTACATGTGATCCAAACGCAGCAATTTCCGATCCAAATCATCGTGCCAGACGAGAAAAATAAATTCATTGTATGAATGAAAATTATACATTCTTTTTTATTTTATATCGAAAATTTAATTTTTTTTAATAAAATATAATTTAAAAAACTGTATTCTTACATAGATGTATATGTTTTATTAGATATTTAAGTATACCAGTATTATATTAATGTCTGTTAAATTATTTACAAGATTTGTTGAAATAAAGTTTTAAAATAGTATCCGGATTTAATAGACAACTTATTTGATGTTCTTTATTTGCTTATCAATATGATACAAGAACATATGTAACATATAACAAATGCATAGTGTATGCGCTTAATGACAATCAAAATAATTATGAACATGTAGATATTTATTATTTAACAAACTGACTTCTTATTGCTAATGAAAGAATAGTATAAATGGTTGCTTTCAACAAAGCATTAAGTATGTTATGTGCAAGATACCGTGAACGCATGTATATATATACACACATACATATATGTGTTGTCTATCACTGGAATGTTTCCGTTATTTTGTTACATTTATTCAAATACACTATTCAAAAGTGTAAGAGTGGAAAAAATATATAAGATACGACGATCATTACTATCGCCGTTGAATGTCTTTTTTGTACATATTTCTCCTGTGTAAAAATGTCATGGTTTTCCAGAAATCTAGATGTGAAATGACATTTAATAAAATAAATTTATACATGTTTATGCATATGCACTATGTATCTAAGTAATGGTATTTGTCTACTATAAATCATTACAAAGACCTATAGTGAATGTACTGAAATATATTATGAACATTTATATTGAACTTGTTAAACGTTTTACAACAATACTCATTTGTAAGGTGAAAAATTATTACAAAGAGAAGACTAAACTATTCCTTTACCTTAATATATCTATTTTTTTTATTTCACAATCTAAGATATTTATGATTAGAAAATAGAGAAATTGACTACATAACTTAATAATGCAGATGATATAAACAATGCGCGTGGAAATCTGAAGGAAGAAACGTTTGTACAAAAGGAACTTTACACAATATATGCAGGAATCATATTAAATATTAAATTTTGATGATCTCCATCAATATTATTGTACATTGAGAGACTTTTTGGAACGTACCTATGCAACATTTATGTACATTTAAGTAATGATATTAATGTTATAGAATATTTCCTTGAGTTTTAGAATTATTTATATGTTAAAATATATGTTTACGTTTTTAGTATTTTCGCCAATTGTGATGCACTCTGTCCTATTAAAATACTCCTATGGTTGCCGGGCAATACTTCAATATTCACGTTCTTTTTGCAAACCTAGAGAAAAATTTAAAATATAATATTTAGCATGTAGAAAATAAAAATGAATGTTAACATATATATTACACATTTAAATGAAATAATAACCTTCGACAAACCATAGTCATTCTCTACATCACCGAAATTCTCTGAAGCCTTGATTAGTGTAATATCTCCAGTATATACATTGCTTGGTTTATAGAAGTAAGTTATAAGCAGTTTTTTGTAGAACATTAAACCAGCAATCTTTAAGTCCTCGACGTTTAATTGAGGCATATTTATTAATTCTACCATTTTGTTTAATACTTCTTCATCATTGGATTTCTCGCGCAACATCATGTATGCCTACAAAAATAAAAAGGTAATGAAACATACTATTCTGATATCACATGTTATACTATACGAACAGGAAAATAACAGTACCTGCATGAAATTGATCTTGGGGTTGTACTGTCTGATGAAGAACGACAGAGCCTTCCGGCAACCATCCTCACTGACATCTACGTCCTCATTAGCGTGTTTACCAATATTCACGGAGTGGTATTTCACATAATCCGGTGAACCATCAATCAGAGTCAAAACCACTTGTTCTCCCATCTTTTGTAACTGAAGACCCATTTCAAATCCAACACAGGCTCCAAAGGAATAACCTGCTATGTGATAAGGTCCTTTGCTCTGAATCTTGCGCATTTGCTTCAAGTAATAGGTCGCTAACTCAGGCAGAGATTCCAATGGAGATTCTTTGACACACTGGAAGCACCAAGCAGGTCGTTCTAATTCGGTAGCGATAATTTTGAACGGAGAACTCATTCCTTCAATAGCGTGAATTAAGAACAGAGGCGTTCCCTTTGAGCTCTTCGTCTTCAACTCTACAACACCCTCTTTAGGTAAGAGGTCTGTACCCTCAATATGGAACAAAAGGTTTGGACTTTCTTCTGGAGATGATTGTGCAGCATCTCCAGTACTTTCCTCCACTGCATCGGGATCCATTTCCGACAACTTTTGGAACGTCAAGTTACGAATTTCCTGCGCGGACAGTACCATATCGTAGTTCCTTTCAAGTGTCTGTTTGATTTCCGTTCCCATCAGTGAATCCATTCCAAGATCAGCCAAGGAAACACTTGGATTAACTGATTCCAGTTTCTTAACGCCCAGGATATTGGCGACCGCTTGAACCGCGCTAACCTTGCTCGCGCTTTCACCACTCCTGTGTTTGTCTGCCATAACACAGGATAAAAGAACGGGATGTGGCTGTTGTAGAAATATGTCCATCGTCTCGAGACAACTCTGTATACGTTGTGGCAAGGTACCACCGATCTCAGTGTCATTATGACCACCCATGGTCTCTATAGACAGAAATAATACATATTTTCACATACATGCATAGAATGAATTTCAAGTAAAATAAAAAAGAAACTTACCCAAAATAAGACCAACATCACCGATGGCTCCCCATTGAATAGCAAGACCAGGCAAACCATTCGCTTGTCTCTGTTCTATTATTCTCTCCATGGTAGAATTAGATAGACCATAGTTAGTTTGACCAATGTTGCCTCTTGCACTGGTGATAGATGAGAATACGACGAAGTAGTCTAGCGCTGAACAACATTCTCGCGATGCAGCGTCCAAAGCTTTAGTTGCGTTAATCTTGGGCATTGCTGACGTCACGAAGTCGGATTCTTGGAGATTTTCAATGAGATCGTCTCGCAGAACAGCTGCCAGATTGAATATACCACCGACAGGAGCGAATTCGTTGCTTTCTTTGAGCAATTGCTTCGCTCCAGCTAACGTCGACGCATCAGTCGTAGATAATTTAATGTTCACGCCCATTTCACGCCAACGACGAACGCAGAATGATTGGAAGCCATTGCGTACTCCAGATCGTGATGTTAAAACCAAGTATTTGGCGCCACGTACAACCATCCAATCAGCAAGTTCCAAACCAAATCCACCAAGGCCACCAACCAGTATGTACGATTTTTCAGGGTTCATGTAGGTGCGTGGAATGGCCGCGACAATCTTAGGCGCAGGCTGAACAACCTTCTGAGGTTCCTCATCTCGAAATACCAATGTGTTTACCAGTGGCCATAAATCTGAAGGATTGTTCGAGTTGTTGTTCTGAGAAGACAGTGGAAGGTAGAGGACGAACAGCGCCAGTTTTAATTCCTTCACTAACAAGCCTTACAACTTCTCGCCTGTCTGGACCATCATCTTCACAAATGGCGTCCAGAAGAATTCCATGGAAGGAGACATTCTTCAAGAAAACGGCCATACCAAGTGGCGTATCGTTGGATAAATCGAATTTTCCAATCTCGAGGAAGCGTCCACCGATAGCAAGACACCTAATACTAGCTTGCAATTTTTCTTCGGCTAACGAGTTAAGCACTATGTCAACACCACGTCCATTAGTTTCAGTAAGTACCAGCTGTTCGAAACTGGTGTCTCGTGAATTGCCAATATTCTTGTCTGTCAGTTGAGGGAACATCTTCTTCAAGAAATCTCGTTTATCTTGTGTTCCTACAGTGGTAAAGACTTTGCATCCTGCATGCAAAGCAATAGAGATACTGGCTTGACCGACACCTCCACTACCAGCGTGGATTAGGACACTATCGCCGGGTTTCAAGCCACCTCTAACGCAGAGGGCGTAGTAACTGGTAGCATATGCGACTGGGACGGTCGCTGCCTCCTCCAGAGACCATTTGTCAGGTACTTCCCACATGAATCCACGATCAGCGACAACAGTAGTAGCTAAACCACGTGCTGGTACCATAGCCATGATTCTTTGGCCCTTGCTGTCACGGCCAGAGAATTCGAGACCCAATATACAGTCTTGATTAGCCAGGTTTCCGGGAAGAGCATCTGGTGGCAGCTTTCCAGTAGCCAACATTATGTCTCTGTTCATATTAAATGTATGTAATAATTGAAAATAATATAATATGATTTTTAAATGATTTTTCAAGATGAAACTTACCTGAAATTCAATGGTGCATAATACACAGAGCACATCTCTGTACCAGAATTCTTCTCTTGCTGATAGTAGCTCAGTGGACTCTCGATCCATCGCAAGCTGCTCAGATCACCTCTAAACAGTGCATTGATATAGGCATGTTCGACTTGAAGAGAGGATGCTCCGTTTTGCTGGTCTAACAGCAAGTGCCTATAGGTTCCCCAATGGCCTCCTTTCAGAACATTGGCCACCAGCTGTTTATCCATTTGTTGAGCGTAGAATTTATCGTTGAGATTAAATTTGGGTGCGTTCTTATCTTGAATGAAGACATAACGTGCCTTGCTACCACCCTCCTCACGACGGATGCAGTTCATGAATCCAGGCATACCTATAAGAAACATAAATCATAATTGTTAAAGGTTTGTTTTTATCAATTTAAATCAAACTTTTGCTTAACACTTACCAAGTAATTCTTCACCCTGACTGACAAACAAAAGCTCTTGGTTCTCAGTCACAGCTTTCTTCAAGGCTGCTTTGACACCTTCTAACCACTTGAAATTCTTCTCAGTTATTTGTATGATAATTGGTCCTGTGCTCTGTACTTTCTTCTTCAACAGGATATAAGACTTTCCAGGTGCAACTTGTCTTGCTACGTAAACTAGGTCTGTGTTTTTGACCAAATTAGGGTCAGCATGGTTAGTTTCTTCCAACAGGACAAAACCTCCATCCCTCACACTATCACTCAGATTTTTCAGTGCCTGCAACGAATTACTGGACAACAAGTTACCAGCCATCACGAGATGAACGTCTTGTCCAACTGGTCCTGTGTTTTCATTGCGTACTACAATTTTAACACTCATTGCTTCCAAATTAGAGTAACCATCTTTTGAAGGCGCAACTACTTGTAGGTCCATCTAATAAAAGAAAGATTCATGAGATGATTTTTTCATGAATTAAAAGTTTTTTTTTTTAAGTAATGATAGGAGTACATACAGTGACTAACGGTTCTCTGTACAAAATGGTCGGCACTTGGGATGTAAGAAGAGCATCAGCAGGGCGACTTCCAGCCACCTCGACGATTTTAAACTTAGATCCCACGAGATTCTCGCGAACAATTTGCAGCAGCACAGTAAGAGCATTATGTTTGGCTTTCTCAGGATCTTGCACCAATGGTTGAGGATTTTCATTGAGAACGAATGTGTATCGCTCTAACTGAGGAGCCTGATACTGCTGTTTCTTTGCAACCAAAGAGGCCTTCATCTTTCTAATCTCAATACCACCTGACTTAATAACATTAATGTTAGAATAAGAATATACTGGAACACCCTCGTCTTCCTTGCACTTCTTCACGGTATCTAAGTGAACAGTGGGGTTGACGGCAACGTACTGTACACGAACTGGTACATACAATCCTCTTGAATCATTCTCAAGGATTTTAAACTGAAGCATAGTATCCATGAACGCAATCCAATTGTCCCAGTGGAGTCTGCCAGCACCTCCGCGGTTGTTGATGGATTTAATTCCCTTGAAGACTCCGTCGTAATCGTATCCTCGCAGTCTAAGTTCTTTGTAAATATCGTTCGCGTTCAGGTCCAGCAGATCACGTTCTACTTTAGGAACTACCGGAGGTATATTGAGTAACATCTTGTCAGGGCTTTCTGGTACAGAGATCTTTCCTGTAACTGCCACAGATCCGTTTTCGCAGATCTCAAACTCATTGGTACCCATAAAAACATTGATCAAAAACTTCACAGAACCTTCCTTTGGCATAATGGTGGCTCTTTCGAATTTGACGTTTTCAAACACAACTGGCATCTTTTCAAAATCTTCTCCACGCAGTTTAGCAAGGGTCTTCCACACCATCACCAGATAACCAGTAGCAGGGAAGAGAATCCTGCCATCAATAGTATGACCAGAAAGATAGGCATCTGATTCCTTAGATAGGTCTACTTCCACAACGCTTTCTCCAGAAGAACCCTGACCATGGTAGTCAGCTACATTCCATTCAGTGGAATGGTCCCATTTAACCATAGAATTGATCATTGGCGTGCCCCGACCAACGGGGTAACTAACTGGTGGATACAGTTTGGATACTTTAGGCTGTCCTCCAGCCATGTACAGTTTTCCTAAATTTTCCAACAGGAAGTTCAGGTTGTTCGAATGATTACGTTTGTGCAAGGCAATGTTTGTTACAGTTGGTTTCAGCGACCTGCGCAAAACTGCTTGCAACAGACAGTGAGGAGCGATCTCAATCACTATGGCGTTTTCTGGGATGTGAGCGAGAGACTGATGGAAGAGCACAGGCGACATCAAATTATTCGCATGATACTCTGCAGAGCTGAGTTGCGCTAATGGAGAGCCCCAATCTGACTCTGGTATGGAGGTGGAGATCCATTTGGAGGATCTCGGTTTCGGGTTTGGAATCACTTTCTCCAACATAGCATGAAGTCTTGGTCCTACTGGAGCCACGTATGGACTGTGGAAAGCGACACCAGAGCTGTTCACCAATTTCACAAATATGTCGTCTTTCTTCAGATCCTCACCGAACTTCTTGAGAGATTCAACGGGACCGGAAACTGTCACTGAGTCGCTTGAGTTGTTACAAGCTGGTGTTACGTCGGGTGGACAGCGCCTCTTTACTTCTTCCCAGTTCAATCCTACAGCAGCCATGCCTCCAGGTGCCAAATTCGAATCTATGATCGTCTTTCCCCTCCAGTAGGCACCCAGGACCGTTTGTTCGGGTGTGAAGGTACCATCAGCATAGGCACATCCCACTTCTCCTACAGAATGTCCAAGGATACCATCCGGTTGGATACCCAAGTGTGTCAATAGATCCACGAGAGCGACCTGAATGGCTGCAATCGACACGAACGAGTTTAGGACGTTTTCAAAGGTTTCAGGTGTTCCATTCTGAAGAATATTCATTAAATCAACTCCTTCAGGTTTCAGACATTCGGCACACCTTTTCAGACTTCGGTGAAACGTCTCGATGCAAAGTAGGTCTTTAGCCATACCTGCCCATTGAGAACCCATACCAGAAAACACGTACCAAATGGGCCGTTTTTCGCCTACACATAGACTGACATCTTGAGAATCGCCCAGAATAGAATATCCTCGATATAAATGACCACCGATATTGTTCGCGTAAGTATCATGGAGCAAAGCAATGAATTCATCGTCCTTTTCATGTTGCTTGGCCTTATCTAGGAGTACGTTCACAGCCTCCTCAGTACGACCAGACACTGTAACAAGTTTAGGCACTTTACTGTCCACAACTGGGGTCAATTTTGGCTTGGGGTTACTACGAAGAAGAATGTGTGCATTGGCTCCACCAAAACCGAAGGAATTAACCGCTACCAGTCCTCCTTTCCATGGTAAGTTCTTATCAACGACCTGTATGCTTCCATCGCTCAACGCAGGAATGTCTGTGTTTGCACTCTTAAAGTGCAAGTTGCTTGGAAGCATTCCAGACTCCATGGCAATTAACAACTTTGACATGGAACAGACACCACTAGCAGGCTCTGAATGTCCCATGTTCGACTTAACAGAACCAAGCAGCAGTGGACCTTTCCTGCCTTTGCAGAACAGATTTGCGATCGAGTTGATTTCTTGAGGGTCTCCAACTTTGGTACCGGTTCCGTGGGCTTCTACATAGACCACATCAGCAGGATTGACGCCTGCTTCCGCGTAGACTTCTCGCATCAACCTGTTCTGCATGTCTCCACTTGGAAACGTGATTCCTTGAACTTTATTACCATCTGTATTAGTCTTGGAATGAATAATAGTGGCGTATACTCTGCGTGCATCCTTTGCTTTTTGTAAATACATGACAGAAACAGCTTCTGATCTGACGTATCCCTTGCCATTGGCGTCAAACGCCCTGCAGGCACCGTCTGGCGACAACATGCTTAACCTATGAAACTGGAGGGAGGAGGTAGGCTTCAGTAGAAGATTACAACCACCAACAATGGCTGCGTTACACTCTCCATTGCGCATCGCGGCGATTGCTTGATGCATTGCATACAGGGACGAAGAACACGCGGTATCTACTGCATAACTAGGACCGCTGAAGTCGAATGTGTAGGAAATTCTATTTGGGAACATGGCTCTGCAGCAACCGGTTAAACCATATCCTATAAAAATAAAAATTAGAATTATTATTGCGATAATTATTATTGTTAATAGTGTATGTAGTCAGTAGAGCTGATTTAGTGAAGTCGTAATTTATCACGTTTAAATTAATTAGATTATTGTGTTACTTGTGACTTGATATTTAAAATTTCTACTTCTAATCTGCCATTCAAGTTATACAGTATTAAACCTTCGTCGCTTCCTGCTCAATAGTTGACATACTGATAAAAATTAACCTTCAGCTATTGAAGATTAAGGTGCAAACGAACAAATTTTTGAAATATGCTACAATGGAAGAATCACTTTTGAATGAAGATAGAGCTCCTTATCTTCCTCAAACAACAGTTTCGGCGCTTGGATTACGTATAACTTTGACGCTTGACCAATGTCAAGACCTCATTATATCGGTTCCATCAATTACATTTAAAAATATAGCTTTTTATGCTAACCGTTTACACTCTCCGGGTCTTTGGTCCAATATTCATCTGACTCTGATGCCGAGACACCGATGAACACACCAGTCTTGGACCCCCTAACGTCATTTGGATTGATACCAGCGTCTACTATGGCTTCATAAGTTACTTCCAAGAGCATACGCAACTGTGGGTCCATCACATGAGCTTGTTTGGCGTGAACTCCGAAGAAAGAGGCGTCGAACAATGAGAGATTCTTCAGTTTACCAGTTCTTGTGGGTAAACCATAAATGCCGGATGGCCACCGACGCTCATCATCTGTGACCATATCGAGACCCTCGAATAAGTTTTTCTTAAATTCATCTACATCTTCGGACTCCGGGAAGCGACCTGCAAAATTGTTGGAATTAAACAAATATTCTTACTAATTATACGTAATGAAAGATATAATTAGAGATGTGAGAATAATTTCTCACCTGAGAAACCACTGATGACAATTTCATCGTTAACAGCATATGTGGTATTGCCATTCACCATGGATGGTTCTCTCGTGATGGGGCTGTTTGCACTTTCGAATTGAGCCGGCATTATGATAAGTGTGCGATATAATCTACTTTTTTAGTTCCTTCTTTTCACAGAATTTATCAAACGCGGGAGCTTAGTGGACGATAAGCTGCAAATTAAAAATAAAAACGTTATTTATTACTTATGCATTGTAATCAAAACTGAGTCATTTTGTGACTACTTCGGTAATTCTAGTGTTAACCTGACGGAATACATTTCTTATATAACAATTTAAGTGAGAACTATTAAAACAAATTATTCCGTTAATTACAGTCAAAATTTCGTGAATGTAGGACAGCGATAACTAGTAGCCTCGTGGAACGCTTCAGACATCTCAGCAATTGTATTAGATTACCACTGTTAACCATCTCTTCTCAACATGTGATTAATTGAGTGATTTCAATTGGATTCACTCCGAGATAAATCAATTTACTGGTGACTTTATACGCGCAAGATGCACCTTTGCTTGCTCGCTGTCACCATCGTTAACCCTCCATGTCTATTTCCCCCACCCCCTCCCCTGATGTTTTCATTCGTGTCAAAAGTATCGTTTCACATTGCTTCATTTTATTTTCTTATATTCGTGAACTCATTTACGAACAATGTGAAAAAAGAAATTTCTAATACTCGTGATACTTCTCCCCACTTTTTGTAATCGTGATTAATACCGTTGAAAAATACTATAGGAACGTTAATCAAAATCGTTCGACGTCAATCCAATGACCGTGCATGCAAAAATTCGAATACAGCAGAAATATGAATATACAGCAGATTTGATTAGAATAAATGACCAACTATTTTGATTAGAACGTCAATAGTAACATGCGACATGACGTTGACCTGACCCCGTGAAACATGGACGAACGATATAGATTATATCGTTCAAAACTATTACATCAACAGCTTATTATTATAATTTAATGATAAATCTCTTATAAATCGCACGCGTTGGTTAATTGCGATATCGTACGATATTATTTTTGCTTTTATATCGATACCGACACCAAGTGGTATTGGAAAAATTACAGCTGTAATAGTTGTAAAATTCACGATCTAATATATACGTTAATGATCGCGTGACGCGTATGATAAACCATCTCTCGCGAGGATACTTAACTGGGAATCAATTAACTATAAAAGTTAAAACGTTTACGTCATTCAAAATATCGTTCGATTACCGCATAATTGATAATCACACACATAGATGTTATGTTTGAATAATTTATACATTTATTAACACATTGCCGACTGAGTCAAATAGATTTGAATAGATAAGAAAGATTTCTAAAAAGATTTATGGAAAAATTCATAGTATTCTGTTTTAAAAAAATTACGAATGTAAAATTAAAAAATAAATGATTATACATACTTGATATTATGGAATCAAGTTTCTCGAAATAATACGCGAGAATGAAATAATATTTGCTGTGAATAACGCGATGAAAACTGATAATCTACCACCCATTGGTAGAACGGTTGGCAATGCATGAAGCTTTTTATGTGGTTACGTTTAAATCTTCCCGCAATTCGACCGCTCGAAGTTCGAATAATACGCGGTATCTTAAACGTTGTAAACTGTTTATGTAAATCAAGAGGCTCTGATGTAATAGTAGCCGGTACTCGTATTAGGCGAAAAAGATGTCAGGTAAAAGAATATTCATCACGTTCGTTTAAATAATGCGTCAATGCCAATAATCATAAATGAGTAATGGATTCACTCTTCAATCGTAGAATTCGCAATTGCTTGTGAAGTTTTCGCAGAAAAAAAAAATTATCATGAAAATGTTTCTCTTCTTTTTCATATAATGTCCATAAATATAACTTAAATTCTATGCGTTTTGCGAAATGACGAAGTTTTTTTTAGGTTAGCCTCATATTGCGTATCACCGATCAACCAACTTCATACTCTATTTTCGAGGTTATCTTCCGAACGTTTTTTTCCTTGAAGACATTTATTGTACGCGTGCACACTTTTTATCTGTCACGTGTGATACTGTCGTCTCTCCGTATCGGATTTCGTATATTTTTATTTATCTAGTCACTACCCGGACATTTCATTATCTTGGAAACTTCTAATAATTGTTTGCCATTTCTTTTCTTTTATCTCTTGAAATTTCGACTTTTTTCAAGTCCGCGATCTAACATCAATAAAAAATATGCGCCTTTCGGTGCCATTTTTCTCGATCTGTCCATACTGGTGTGTACAACTGCTTAACGAATTCGTAGACGAGTCGCCACCGATACCAAGAGGTAAACACGGTTAGCCTTGAAAATACGCGAAGTTTATCTGATAGTTCCGTTAAATCGGTTGATTCCACCACGAGTTAGAAGCACGCGTTAAAATCGATAGAGGAATCTGCTTACACTGGATTATATTTGAGACGCCTTATGAAAAGCCTCTAGCAAATACATAATGAAGAATCTCACATATTCATTGCGGTGCATGAAAAAATGTTTGTTTAAATATTTATTCAATAACATGCAGAATAATGACAATAGAAGTGTAAAAACTTTTTAACGAATAATAATATGCTAATTTTTTAATTGCTTGTAATTCAATGCACGTTATACATTAATCAATACTCCTTGTCTTTTGCACAATAGAAAAAATATCGTGTATTTTAATACTGATTATGCTAAAATAAAACAATGTGAATTGTAATAATTTTTCAAACAAGGATCACCTTCAACATCACGAAACAGTTAATTCAAATTTTCTGCCCTATATGTATACAATGTTATATGAATATTCATCATGTGAATTATTCGATACCCACTAAAATATACATTTTAATTTTATATTTTCACTTAATTCAGTTACATAATGAGTGCAGCGAATTACCATGAGTTTCATAATTAAAATACAGAATCGAGAAAAAAGGTTGCGGCCAGTGGAAAAAAATGTTTTTTTTTTCCGTTCCTATTAGGGACCACGTTTTTAACCTTCGCATACATAGATATCGATTTTATTACGACAGATCGTAAATGAAACTTCGTCCGCGCATGGCTCAAGTTATTTCGTCGTATGAAAAATATGGTTAGACAAAAACCTGACCACTCAGCATCGACTGCCCCATGAGCCGATCACGTGTTGCGCAACGTAGATGCGCACAGAATCAAAATAGCCATGAACGGTCGATGGCGTAGATCGATTCTTCTAAAATGTTTAGACGAACAAGTTTCATTTAGCTATCGCATGAAATTTATAATTGCTAAATAAAATTTATTAAATATTTATGTATTTTTCAAAAAGAGATGTGTAAATATAGATTGAACAGTTATAATTTATTGTTCTAGTTAAAAATTCAGTAAAAAAATATTCGGAAGAATATTTTATGATACCCCAATATTATTTGTAATTGTACTATTTTGTATATAAATTTGTACTATTTTGAAATGCCAAGAACGTAAAGTATCTCATTTCCTCCAAAAAATTCGATGTATCTACAGTTTCTCATAAATTAACAATGCATTAAGTGATATTTTACGAAAACGGTAGGAAAATTGTTCTTGCAATTTTCGCAGAAAAATGATAATTCGCTGATTGTGGGCCTGACAAGCCATAAATAAACTACTTACTAGCCGGTGGTCAAAGATACTACGTATGCGACGCAGTAGTAAGAGTTTACATAAGTCAGACTATAAGTTCTCAAGAGACTGCACACGCATCGTTCGTGTCGAACAGGTATATTATCGTATGCATAGTTCTTCGCTAAATATCTCGTTACACGTGATACGATACTCGCTGATGAGCCTCGCAATCATGAGAAAAATGAACGGTTACTATATTACATGCATTTGAACAACGAGCAAATAATATCCATTATTATGGAACAACGTTCATTTCCTAGACAAACTTTCCTGTCACCGATATTGTTGCATTAACCACTACTGATGCACTTGTAAATTGTCAACTAATTTCTAACCGCGGTTAGATTTATTATGATGCCCCATTACTATAGTACAGTTTTATGTTTCCGAGCTTCGAATGTCAAAAAAAAGCAGAAAATCGAAACTTCTACAATACACGATACGTAAAATTTCGAGTACACAGTATCGCTAGAACATTTTGTGTTTTATGACAGAAATAATAGGCGAATCGCAGGATTGATTTTCCAGAGTCTGAATAGCCATACGAGGGAAGCCATTTACCGTTACTATGAAACTGTAATACTTGTGCGACTATAGAAATCGAACAAACCTATTTCACCTATTTTCATCGGCTTAATGTATAGATTAAAATCCGTGCGGAATTGTAACCATGTTACAAAAATATATATTCTGTGTTTCTACAAGTGGAACATTATATTTTCTTTACATTCTATGACTCAACAGTTCATGGGAAATGATAACAGTTCATGTGTATACAAGGTGTCCCCAAAATTATGGTACAACTTCTTGGTAAGGCCTCTTTCTTCGAAAAAATGAGTTTGAAAATCCGTCAAGTACTCCGTGTATTAACTGCAAGTTTCGAAGTATGAAACTTCTGTTTCTGCTCGTATTTGTATTATTAAACATGGACAATGTCACGATTTGCTTTCTGTTATTACTGGTATTTTATTTTCGCGATATTGGTATGTACTATTACTTTCTTTTACTCTGTATTTAATTTAAATGGTTTCATAAATAAGAATAAGCATAAACAAGGATAAGGATAAAACCATAAATGGTTTCATAACAGGAAGCAAATCGTAACATTATCCATGTATAATAATGTAAACATGAACAAAAACAGAAGTTTTATACCTATAAACTTGCAGTTAATACACGGGTATCTGACAGATTTTCAAACTCATTTTTTTTTAAACGAAGCCTTAAACAAAAAAATGTTATTCTTTTTTTTTTGACTTATCTTTACATATAGAATTACAACCCGATCGGTTGTAACATAATTTTGGGAACACCCTGTATACTAGATGTGTACTAACGGATTTTTGTATCGACACATACAGCGATTACTTTGTATTTTAAAAATTAAATTTTGTGATAACACGTAACCAATAAGTCGATGAATTAAATTACATAAATGAAAATAAATGTATCAATAATTCAAATTAATTTCTTAATAAATAAATTGTATTTCATTATTACTTCTCAATGGTAAAATGTCAATGTTTATTAAAAGTGCAACGTTGTACAATGACTTACCTCACACGTGGATATAATCCTGACAAGCTCTGTTATCGCAAACTCTGTTTCCCTTTACGCCCGAGAATCCTACGTACTCGACTAGATGTACACCACCGAAAAATTAATCTGTAATGAATAAAGCGGACCTTGCCAACCGGTATATAATTTTGTTACTGAAGAGAGCGAACGAAACGTTTAATAATATTCAATTAGAACAATGGTCCTGCTGTTCAGTTACTTTAAGAATGCAACGTGCGATTTCTTGTCGTCGATAAAACCGGTACAATAGTCGCGAGCACGTCGCAGCGAACTGGCTAGCGTCTAGCTCGTGAGCATCTTGTTATTATTGAATTGGACAGACCCTATGGTCTGACATCAGACCATGTGGTGTCGACCAATCGGCGTACACGTTTTCGGTACGCACGCGCACTAGGATGGACCGGCGTTCTCGTCCTCTACTACGAATATTCCGCTTTTCTGCTAAACCGTACTTGTTCCTTTAGGTGACATGCAGCATGCGTTGAACCTGACATCTGGATCAATTCGTGTACATGCAGCTGTCACATGTCATCTTTCGCGTTTTTATTTTACATAATTTTCATATTATCGGTGCCGATAATTAACATATAATCGTTCACCGTCTATAACAGGACAATGTGACGTGAAGGATCGATATCCTAGTGCAGTAACGTAATCTACAGATTTCAAGAGCATTTGTAAATATTCAGACCCGTTCACCTGCATTGTTCTCCAATGACCGTGACATTCGCAGTATATTCGATTAAAGTGCAAATCTTGAGGGATATTGAAGCAATTTGAATGTCGATTATTTTTTAGAGGTTTCCAATGTGTTCCTGTTTATTAAAATTTTGTAATCATAGGAAGTAGTAACTTTACAAGAAAAATTTGGTCCCCTTATCCCTCCTGTCTGTAAAAAGTTTAAAAAATTTTTAATTTTTGTTGTAAAATTATAAATTTTACGTAATATAGTAACATAAGTTAATCTTTTTTCTTTTATTCGCATTAATTTATACATGTAACGAACATTTTAGAAAGTAATGAAGTTTGCAATATTTCAATCCGTGCATTACTTTAGTGTTGTCGATTAAAGAATACGATTAAATGAATATTACAATTTCTCAATGCTTTTTCTATAAGGAAAAAATGCTGTGATTTATTTGACATGAACTGTGAGTTACTTTGTTTTGTGCTGTAAAAAGCCGTGAACAAAAAACTAATCAGATATTTATTTCATACACCTTATAATCAATTCAGTGTACTGAACTTTTTTTTGTTATTGACATCTGATCTGGTTTTAAGAATTTATTAGATCTCGCGTGATACACGAGTCATTTTCATGAGCCCGTTGTCCAATTAGAATCAGAAGCGAATTTAATCATATTTCGATAGGGGAAAAATATTCCCCCCCTCTTGATAACACTTTGAAGAGGTCTTTGCCACTGCCTTACTACAAGAAGCCTGTTAACCGCGTGTTATATCACGTGAACCGAAGAAAGAAACATATAACCTGTGTAACTTTAGACTTAACGAGACTTTTGTATCACGATGCAGAGCTAACGGAGGCATCCTACTTATCTCTCGTACAAAAGGGAAGTACATGAATAAAAACGGACCAGATTGCAATTGTCGCGGTCCTAACTCGGATTCACAGTGACAGCGACTACTACTACTACTACTACTACTATTATTATCATTATCATTATCATCATCATCATTTTTGTTGTTGTCCGTTATTTTCATACAGCGATCAAACATTCGATCAGACCCAGCGAATGATGAAATGTAGTTACACGCGAGCATGAAGTGACTACGCATCCGAATCTCGGATCTGTTATCGGCTTAACCACGTGGGCACGTACCATTCCGTTCAGATGTGGAAAAAACTGAATTCATTGTTACGTTAATTAATATAAGTTGCGAAACATATAAGAATGATCACTGCAGGGTAATGTACTGCGTAGAGCTGGTAAGTGGCTGTCGGGACGGCACAGGGACAAGGGGAGGAAGCCGCTCGCTCCACCTTTGATGCTCACCGTCACGCGATGGATTAGTAGATGTGACCGTTTTGGCCAATAATAAAAATGCGTGTGATCTGACTGTATGAATTTGTCCGCTACACCAATGAGACCCGCATTCCATCCGTCTGCCAACTTACCAGCTCTGCACAGTACATAGATAATATGTAGCTCTGAAACTTGTTTTTAAGGGGTATGTCACATTACGTTGACACAGAGAATAAAATAATCGACAATAGAGTATTTTTGTACGTTTTTTGTTGCTTGACCCTCTCCTCGTGTAACTCGTGAACTCATTTTTTTAACTAGACAAGGGACAGCTTTTTCAGCACTTGGAACTTTGATCTCCGACGTAAACAGTGGTGTCACGTTATGTTTACTTTCACTTACGTAAATCGATTTTTCATGCATTTTACAGGGAACTTACTGACTGATGACAAAGATTTTACAAAATAGAATAACAATTTGGCAACAGATACGATGTTAATTTCTCTCTTTTTACTAATCATGTCCAGGATATTTTATGAATATCGGTGTAGTTTATCGACGAATATTTCTTTCGTAAAATTTATTCTTTCTTATCTTAATGCAAAGTACAGAACAATAATGTAACTTCCTGGGTTATATAAATCCGTCCTGATATGTGCAAATTTTTATTGTTAATTAACAAAAATAAACATTTCACGAGGGCTTTTTTCCTTTTCTTTTTTGTTTCTCATTTACCTCTTCTAACTTCTGAAGTTCCAGCTCGATTGCCCGTTGTTTCTGACGATATATCGGTGTTTTAGCGAGCCACGCTGCAATGAGATTCCCTTAAACAATTACATATACCTTATATTAATTACTATATTCATATTATTCATAAGAACAAAAACGAACCTAAAAACGCGTCTTCCTCTTCGCAGTATACCGGATCCTTTGTACTCAATGCGTTAATTAATTCACCTTGTGTCAAAGAATGAGTCCTTAACTGCACTATTCGTTTTGTCGTCATTACCTGTTTTCGGTATGTATAGTAAAAGTGAAAAAGATATTTAAAAAATTATACATATCAATCATATTATGACAATCATTTTGTCAATACCTCGTTAATTGATGCTAATATAGTGCCAACAGTGAAACCATCGCAAATTTTAGTCATATCTGATGTATCAAATTGTCTATTAATCCCAGAATACTACAAATATATATAAAATTTTGTAATTAAAAACTCATGTATGATGTAATTTGTAAATTAACGAATCCGTACTTTGTACAATAAATCTTTCCATATAAGAGACACACTTCCATAATCTGGCCTGGGAATATATATAACTTTATCATAAGTTTGGTATAAGCATTTCTGATCTCCATCCCATGGTGAACTTGAGATTCCAATAAGAATCACTCTATCTTCATTTGTAATACTTTTTACTAATTTGGGAAGATCTTTTTTCAAACGTTTTGGATCAGTTTTATCAGTTTTTGAAACTTTTTTCACAAATGGTTTTTCTGCCCCATCCATGAATATTACTGATGGTTGTAGCAAACGTGATACCTTGATGTAAAAAGATATAGTATTAATATTTAACAGCAAATCTTCAATTGCTTCTGTATTTTTTAAAGCACCTTTGATATTAAATGGATAAGCATAATTACACCTGATTTGCCAGGATATTTTCCAGCAATATTAGCTGGTGTAATGTCAAATAAAGTAGCTCCAAGTTCTGTACAAATTGCATTTACCAGCATTTTTTTGCCACTACCATGCGGACCAGCTATTAAAACTGACCTTACTAGAGGTGTCAATTCTCTAAGAGTACTGTTTCCCAAAGGAAGAATACAGTATTCAGCTATTAACTGTCTTATATCTCCTATTGATGCAATGAATTCAAAAAAATAAATATAAATGGAAAATATAGATTGTTGTAACAGACTTATTTAATATGCAACATTACCAAGAGTTGGCAAATGATCTTTTCCCTTTTCTCTCAAATTATGGTTTGCAAAAGACTTTTCACCTTTGAAATCATGAAGAGGAGTTTCCCTATAAAGCTTAATGATACCTTGAGTCAGTAATTCTTCAAATAAAGATTCTGTTGTTCTATCTGGAGTTAAATCTTTTTCCTTCCTCTTTTTATTCTTTTTCCCACTACGACGAATTCTTTTTTGTACTTTTTTTGCACGTTTACCTTTAAAACCTCTATCTCTATCTAATGCATTTTGCAAGGCTTCTATATCATCTTGAAATGTAGTACACAATTATAATACTGTTACTATTTACATTTTTAACAACTTTCATTCTCAAATTTACCTCTGAGTGCTTGATCTACTGTAATTCGAACTTCATTCTCTACTTCTTTAGTTTTTTCATTTTCTATCATATCTAAGTATGGCAATTGTGCTGCATTTGAGGATTCATCTTTATTTTTCCATACTTCTTTATATTCTTGATTTGCACATATTAATACTGATAAGAAATTAGAAGGAATTGATTTGAAACCTTGTTCAGTCTCTTCCTCTGACTGTTCACCGTCACTGTCTTTCTTTGATTTTGACCTTTTAGATTTTTTGGATTCCTTTGATGATACTGCAGTAGATTTGCTTATGGTACTTTCAGTTCCCTAGATGAAAAACAACACACTTGGCTCTTTGCAAGATGATGTGTATAATACACGTGCAAATATTAAGTTTACCTGTCTACTAAATATAATCCTAGATCCACCACTTTCTACAGATGGCAAGTCAGGAATTTTTCCTGTCTGTTGGAAATAAGTACTTATCCAATTTCGAACTTCACTTCTTATATTTTCCTCCATTATAGCAGTCTTTTCTTTGCGAATTCTTTCCTTAGCTTCAATCATTAAATTTTCATACAATTCTTGGTATTTTATTTGCTTCTCATATCTTTCTTGTCTAACTCTCTCAGCCAGCCTGACATTCTCAGTAATTTCTTGACTTGGTTGAAGCATACCTTTGAAGATAAAAAATATTTAGATTTGTCTTTCAGTTTGGAATTATTTTGCTGTCTGATTGAAAAATACCAATTAATAACATTTCTTCAAGACGTCTTTTTCGGATTTTGTACCTAGTCACATATCCTTTCCAAATTTTTTGAATTTTAATTACAGCGGCTTTTTGGCTTGCCTCGTCGCTCACTTTTGCGTCTGCTTTAATTGCAGCTTTTTCTTTCACTTGACGTATCTCTTTCATAAATTGAAATTTTAACCGACCTTGCCTAGCCCGTTCATGAGCCTAACACATTTATAGACAATACTTAAAAATATAGATTCATATACATAACTTCTTATGCCGAACGTTTGATTTAAAACATTTGTACCTGTATAAGCCTTATAGCTTCAGATTCCGTCATCTTTTTTGGTATAATTACTTCATCTAAAGCACCTATACTTTTAAGAGTATCTTCTATGTACTTTCGCTTTTCTTCAATTTCTTTTAAACGTTCGCGCCTAAAATATCTTGGCACTTGAATTTCAACTTCTTGTGGTGTGACGTTTAACTTTATTAAAATATCGTCAAAATAACTATATTCCGAAAGATCTATCTCGACTAATTCGTGTTTCAATTCTAAAATCCTACCAAGACACGAATCTAATAATTGTTTGATTAATATTCGTTTTTGCGGCTGAATTACTTGATCATAACACAATTCGAATTTATTACAAATAGTTGTATATCTTACATATAATTCTGAAACCATGTTATGTGCTTTTCTGCGATCTTTTTGCGGTTTAGCGTTTTGTAAACTTGTATCCAATTGAAGAAGTTCCTCCAAAGCGTTTTCTGCGTTTTTCCAAAGTTCATCATATGTTGTACTTGACATGATCGAAATACCTCTTATTTTGTGTCTATCTTAAAATAAAATATTTATTTGACAGTAAATCGAACAACAATGTGGAGAAACACTTTGCTCTATTTGTCTTTTAGGATTGTTGAAAATCATTAATATCCTAGCAACCATCAATTAAGCTAATAATACATAAAGTTTCGTAGAAAATTCGCGCTTAAAAGGTTGCATATTTAAATGCACTTCTTTTGTAAATACATTTATTTTCAATTTGTTCATGAATATTGCTACGATGAAATATTCTAAATGATAATATCAAGCAAAAATTAAAATGCATTTTTTAACATTGTAGATATAAAATGTTTTTTACAATGGATCTTTTCTATAATAGATATCAAACATATTTAGTCTTTAATGACTGACGTTAATAACATAATATGGGAAGATTTTATTGAATTTATAAGAAAGATACATTTATTTGAATAACATTTTGATTCAAATCGTGTGTTGATCGCAACATAAAAGAGGGAGTTCGATGCAACTGGCTATTCTCGTAACATGCTTCAGAACATTCCGGTTGCCTGTTTCAAAACGTCATCTTGGGCGATCGTTTGTTCGCGAAAATAATTTCTGTAAATACAATTCACCACCGGCTAAAGGTGGTGATGAAAAGAAAGCATTTGCAGTAATGGCGTCGGCATTGGAGCAATTTGTAAATAACGTGCGGACGCTCTCGAAACAAGGTACGACAGATATTCGGACCTTCCCCACATCTTCATGAACCTAACCTCTAAGAATAATCTTATAAAATTATTAGAACGTTCTACACTATACTGAGATGATCTTTCTTTTAAGAAAATCAAATTCAAATTTACAATATCTTTTTGGCGTAGTGTCGAATAGTCATTTTATTTTTATTCATTTAGATCATACGAAAATTCGATTTCTATATTAGGCGTATTTATGACAAAATCCTAAATATGTATATCAACGTTTCATTTTGTAGCGTCATGTAAATTATTGTCTGAAAAATTTTAACGTTAAATACAAAAAAGAAATATTTTTTTAAATAAATATTTTATTACAAATAAAATTAAAACATGTTTTTGGAGAAATTATTAATTAATATTACTTATTTTATTGTTCTTCATAGGTAATTTTAGAGAGCTGTCTGAAATAATAACTAAAAGTACAGAAGTTTTAATAAAAAATGGACAACACTTAGATAATGTTCTAGAAACATTAGATCTACAAGAACACTCATTAGGTATTTTAGCAGTGTTATGTGTAAAGTGTTCATTGCCCACTCCTAATGGTGCAAACAATGTTGATGCGTATAAATCACTATTTAATCAGGTTCAGGAATTTATCATTGGTTGCAATGGAGAACAAGTTAGATTTGCTTCTGATATATGTAAGTTCTTGCTTTGTTTTTTTTTATTCAAAAATGTTAATGGTATACAAAAGAAATTTTATTTTGTGTATCTTTTATATCCTAGATGCAGAATTATGTCACTTATTTACTCAAACATTGGTTGAACTGAAAATACCTTTGCGTGGTATTGAACTATTGCGTCGTGCAATACGTAAAATACAACTGTTTGATAGTCAACTTACTTCACTACATGCTGACCTTTGTCAACTATGTCTTTTATCTAAGTGCTTTAAACCAGCACTTGAATTTCTTGATATAGATGTTACTGGTATCAGTCAAGAAGAAGGACAATTTGATTCAAAATACTTTTTACTTTACTATTATTATGGTGGTATGATATATACAGCACTGAAAAATTATGATAGAGCATTGTATTTTTTTGAAGTATCTGTAACAACACCAGCTATGGCAGTCAGTTACATTATGTTAGAGGCTTATAAGAAGTATATTCTGGTCTCTTTAATATTGCATGGAAAAGTTTTGAACTTGCCTAGGTACACAAGTCAAGTGGTTAGTAGGTACATGAAACCATTGAGTCAACAGTATCAAGAATTAGCTACAGCTTATCAGATGAATAGTTGTGAAGAGGTGCAGAATATTATCACCAAATATCAACAACTGTTTACAAGAGATCACAATATGGGACTGGTGAAACAAGTGTTAAGCTATTTATACAAGAAAAATATACAAAGGTTGACAAAGACTTTTTTGACTCTTAGCTTAAGTGATGTGGCTAGCAGAGTCCAATTGTCAGGACCTGCAAATGCAGAAAAATACATATTAAACATGGTAAATATTTTTATTACTTAGGTACCACACAATGGATACGTAAATATTAGACAAAAATATTTTATATTTATAATTTTAGATTGAAGATGGAGAAATTTTTGCAACAATCAATCAAAAAGATGGTATGGTAGTATTCCATGATGATCCAGAAAAATACAATTCACCTCAGATGTTGGCAAAACTGGAAAAGGAAATGGCAACATGTATGGAATTGGACAAACGAGTACTTGAAATGGAGGAAGAAGTTGTTCTTACGCCACAATATGTTCGGAAAACTTGTGGACAAACTGATCAAGATGATCAGACAGCTGGACCTGCTACAACGAATGTAATAAATGTGCAAGGTCAATCTAAACATAGTACCTATTCCATGTAACATATACACGTCGTTGTGCGTTATCTTTATTAAAAAAGAGAAAAACAGAACGAAACGAATCTTGTTGAAAACGAGGACTCAAACATTCAGAAGCCTGTTTTGGATGAACGTGAAAGTCCAAAAGTTTGGCTAAACGTAATCTATTTTGTACAAAATAAAAAACATTACTACTATCATTACATGGAATTATAACTGGTATTAAGATGATAAAAGTAACAAAAGATATGAAAAATTAAAGTATGTCCTTTTTATAGTAAGTCACACATCTTTCTGGATCTCTAAAACTAAAGGCTGATTGATAAGTTGTAAGTCATAAAGTGTGTCTGTGAAGGAGTTACCAACTCGAATATGCTTTATTTTCTAAGCCTTATACACTTAATTTTTGTACAAAATATACTATGCATACAGAATGAAATTAAAAATTATTACCTTAATGATTACTTAGCATCTGAAGCAGGCTTTATATGCAATGCAAAACAAATTGTACATGTTGTGGTTAGAATATTGTGATACATAGCTGCAAAATTATCACATTTCTAACAAAAAATAAGCAAGCTACATTTGATTTATATGTATATGGGCATTTTCAAGGGAATACGTAAAAATTCATCAGTAATGATAATGCAACAATGACATATGTACATATATTTCTCACTAAAAGAAAAATGAAAGAATACAAATTTACTTATGATTTATGATTAAAAAGAAAAACGCTCAATGCACAATTGTGCCAGGTAAGTACACTACGCTTTTTCAGCTCAGTAAAAAACCAGCTGTCCATTTGTATAGGAAATGTAGTACGCAGGATTAATGTATTACTGCAATCATTTTATTTTACAAATAGCAAGGAAATATTTAAGAATATAGCAAAAATTTTGTTATGTATCTTATACTAAGCATTTTGAAATGTATAGCAAATGTTTCTTTTTGGAACTAATGTTAATAATACCACCATGTTTTTGTTAAATGATAGCTAAATATTCACAACCAGTTTATAGTATATATTTATTTTTTAGCTTTAAGTAGTTTCCTTTTTTATATGTAATAATGACTAAGATTTCAAGATAACAACTTTTTTATTTCTGCAAAAATCGTTTGAAATATTTCTTCTTTACTTTTTGATCCATCGACAAACTTTATTGTCTTACATAAATTTTTGTCTTTCATTAATTCATCTATATGTTTTAAATATTCTGGCCATACTACTTTTTCAAAGTATCCCGGAACATCTGGTGGATTATATACTCTTCCTTTCCTTCTTTCCCAACATTGCTCTTTGGTTAACGTTAAGAAGTATTTGCGATTGCATAAATCGGAAATAACCTTACATTTGAAAAGCAAAAACCCATCTAATATTAAAATATTTTTATCAATTGTGTCTGAGCAAGTATTCCCGTTCGGTGTAGATTCAATTAATTTTAAGACATCCGAATGCAATTTGTCCCAATCCACACTGGTTATTAATTCCCAATTAAAATGATTAAGTTCTTCTATTTTTATGTGCCGTGGATCATCTATCGGCAAGAAATAGTTGTCTTGGTGTATGACAACCGAATTTTCCAACTCTTTATGAAGTCTATTAGCCAAGGACGTTTTTCCACTGCAGGTTGCACCCGAAATACCAAGTACAAACCATTTCTTTGTGGACATTTTAAGTTTTTTCCTATAAATATATTATCTCGTAGTTATATCTTATATCGTAGTTTAGGATAAGTTAACTTAAACTAGCTGTATACTATGTGATGCAATATAGTTACATAAGTTACTCCCACTCCTATTCGTACACTATACGGGCATTTAGCATAAATAAAAAAAAAACACTTTTCTTAGAGATATTTTTTATTTATGTTCAGCAGAATTCATTATTACAGTATCTTATATTTATTTAAAAAGTGGTTTTATTTTTCATTACTTAGAAATACAATAAATAGAAAAAGAATGTCACTATCCATAAAAACTATCTCTCAACCGTATTCGTACAGCCAACAAACAACAATAATATGCATCCTAGAGAATGTTTATACTATATCGGGGATTTCCCGTATATTGTGCATGAAATAAAAGACAATCGGCAGTTATTCTTTTGTCTAAACAAAATAGTAATCAACAACATTCAGTATATTAACAAGCAAAATGAGTAAAAAAATGTAAAGAAACATCAATTGAGTTAACCCTTTCGCGAGTAGCGCCGGTTATATCCGGCATTCACTAAGCGCGTCGCCTCGACAACTCAAAGTGAAGATTTATTACTGGATTTATTTTAAAATACAGAACAAGGGCTCAACAACATTCCCTTTATCCAATACATCCTTAAGTCCTCTGCTGTTCCAACGAAATCCTCTAAGATTTTACACGGACGCACTGGGAGCTCCAAAAATGCGAGACACTCATGCTGTGCACTAATGGCACGACGACCCGTCCGTTAGTGGCGTACTGATGCCTAGTTCCGCCGTCGCGAAAGGGTTAAGAAAATTGATTATAAGTCATCATAAAAATGGAAAAGTTTACAACAAATTAGTGATATTGTTAAAAGAAGCCGGTCCAAAGCTGAAAATAGAGTAGAAAATAAACTTCGAAATCTTAATAGAAAGTCACTAACAGATCGTGACGAACGAAGAATTTTAACAGAAATAAAGGTAAATCCTAAAATTAGTGCCTCGAAAATTGTATCAAGGCTAGAAAATCAAATAGAGAAAAAAGTTAGTAACAAAACAGTTCATCGTATTATAAAAAAATATGGATATAATGGAAGAATTGCCAGGAAGGAGCCATAAATTAATGAATCAAATAGACGAAAATGTTTACAATTTGCAAATGAATACGTAAAATGGATGTATGAAACTTGGAAACATGTAATTTTTTGTGATGAGTCTAAATTTAATGTTTTTCAATCTGATGGTCGACAAATTGTATGGCATAAATGAAACACCAACCTTGAAAAATCAAATCTCTAGCCTACAGTGAAACACAGGGGTGGGTATATAAGGTGTGGGGGTGTTTTTCCGTAGCCGGAGTTGTAAATCTGCACATTATTGATGGAATCATAGATAAGTATAAATATATAAATATTTTAAAAGGAAATTTAAAAGTCAGTGCGAATAGCTTGGGAATTCCTAATGATTTCATTTTGTACCAAGATAATGATCCCAAGCGTAGAGCTCGTATAACTCGAGAGTGACTACTATACAATTGCCCCAGTAATAGAAACTAATAGAAACACTCCTACAAAGCCCAGATATAAATCCAATAGAAAATTTACGGGCAGAATTAAAAACCGGAATACGAAAATATGAAATAAGTAATGTGGACCAACTCAAAGAAAAATTAAACCTGGAATGGAAAAATATTAGTAGTGATATTACAAATAAATTAGTTCAATCTATGTCAAATAGATTACTTGAAGTAATAAGACACAAAGGTTACCAAACAAAGTATCAATTCATCGAATTTTATTACTTTTATTAGTCGAAATATGTTTTTTCCCTTATGTACGAATACGGCTGAGAGATGGTTTTTATGGATAGTGACATTCTTTTTCTATTTATTGTATTTTTAAGTAATGAAAAATAAAATTGCTTTGTAAATCGATGTACGATAGTGTAATAATGAATTCTGCTGAACATAAATAAAAAATATCCCCAACAAAAGTTTTTTTTATTTATGCTAAATGTCTGTATGGTGTACGAATACGAGTGGGTGTAACTGTAAGTCATATTAATCAATAATAAGACGTACAAAGTGAATCAATATTTCCTAACAAGAGCTAGTTCATAATATACAGTAAAATTCTTTTATTTACATTCCTTTTTAGTGCAAAACTTATGAATCATGAAATTTACTTGATTTATCATATGAAAAATATGGTTTAACATGATAAATAGTGAACAGTACTAATCCACCAATGAAGCATAAGCCCGAAATTGCAGGTACTACTAATGCAATATTGTGAGAACCAAAAAACAATCGTATTCTATTATCTTCAATAAATGGTAGACCAATGACCCATATAGTGTAATAGAGAAATAAAATAGAGGTCACAATTAATATCACTTTGCCCTTCTTACGGTCACTGCTAAACATTTTAAGTTTACACTTTATAATGAATAAACATTTATATAAACATAAAAATATGTTGATTTAAAGATGAAATACAATTAAATGTTTTATATATTCATTCTTAGTATGTAAAATTTAAGGACTGAACCAGATTATAGTTTTCCAATAATCTTCCCTAACTAATTTAAAAAATATAAAAATATTGTATTACAGGTTACTGATCCACATATTCTTGCTCAAACTTCTTAAAATCTTCTTCAGTAAATGCAGTGGTTTCAGATTCTTTAGGTTTTCGTGCCTTTGGAATATACCTTTGCTTCACAGCTCTATCCAATAACTATTATCACATTTTTTATTAATACAATTTCTTCTATGAATTATTTGAAAATTTATGAAAATTGTGCAATACCTTGTTTGCTGTATCTTGATCAATACGATTGGTACTAAGCATCAGAAGTCTTTGCACATTTTTATCTGTAGGGTCTTCTCGCGTAGCTAACTTCTTTTGTGTTTCATAAACAGTTACTTTACTTGATCGTCCGAGAATTGTGCCAAGATCTATAAAAGTATTTACATATATGTCATTAGTTGATACATACTATTGTGTAACTTTTTACTTCATAGAATGTAGATACCTGTTTTATCGTTTTTAGATAGTATCCTGTGTTTTGCAGGAATCAGGTCCAGTGTACCCTTATATTTTATGTGCTTTCTTTTCTTTTTTTCTATAAAATGAAAACCTTGTATATTTGCAACCATAAACTTGTAACCTATGCAAACTGAAATACAAACCTTGCTTTATACCCTTTTCGTATCCTAGCAATTCAAGTCCTTTTCGTACAAGAGAATTGGACATTTTTATTAAATTTTAAATTAATTTCCTTTTCATATAATATACAGTAACAATAATTCCGAAATAACATGATACAATGTGATCGAGAAAAATGTGAAGAACATAAGACTGTAATAATGCCATCTATGTAGGAAACACGCTCGATAAGCGCGTATAATAAGTACA